ATAACTGGCATAAAGGGAATTTTGACTCTGACTCTGGAATTAAAAAATTAACCAATATTTTAGGAAGTCACTTTGAAAGAGGAGACAGGGTCTGCTTATCAATTTTCCACCTCAAACTATTATAAATATTTAATGCCTTGGGGGAAAATTGCTTCCCAACAAGTTACTTCACAGGGTTAGACCTTGCTCAACAGCACAGATTGACTGGTGTCTTGGAAAAACTGATAAGAAGACTGTTTTCTCCTCTCTGCCTTCCCTCACTTTGTCTCTGCTATGGTCTTGGCCAATAGTCACACAGACCTGTATTAAGGCAAACAAAGAATCCTGAAAACACCATTTTGGTTGATTACCCATACTAGAACCTAGGGATCAACTTTTATTCTGAATGTGCTGGTAAGGGGCTGTGATCATCTTTTGATTGAGGTGGAAGTAGAACACATGAGAAAGTCGATGTAGACCCAATTCAGTGTGTGAGATCTTGAGGGAAGAGACCCACTGCAGAAGTCTGGAAAGTAGCTGCTGGAAAAATTCCAGCTCAAACCAGAAATACAGAGTGATCTGGCTAACAAAGGGAAACATAAGAAATTAGGGACAACTTTAATTTTTTTTGAATTTTAGCTTGAGGAATTGGAACCTTTATCATATTTTAACTCATAAAAGTAAGATTACATGATTTTGGAGCTAATTTCTATATGGAATTAATTTAGACATATTTCTTTGAGATTTTATTCTTTGAATTTAATTTCTCCACACACAAAAACATTTGATAATGGGAAGAGTTCATATTCAAATTTAAATTTGGGCAATCTCTATGGTATTGGAGTTTTGTGGTTGAATCAATCTTATCTTTTGATCTCATGGCAAAATCTCTAAAGAACTTGCCAGCTAGCAATTTTGGCAATGTTGCTTGGCATAATTTGGGATAGAAAATAAACATTCAATGTTCCATAGCATGATCTTATCATCAATTTAATTAATGTATCATCTTAACACATTTCAGGATCCTGGGATAAATTTTACACTATCACAAGTGGGGCCTCCCTGGCGGCACAAGGGGTTAAGACGCAACCTATGAAGCTGGCCACAGGCACTGCAGCACGAGTTCGAGCCCCACCCACATGGTGCAGCAGACCTCTCCTGACTCACCCGCTGCTCCTCTCAGCAGTGTGTTTCGGTCAGTCCACCTGTTCTGTTCCCTACTCTGTCTCTGGTAAATCCTCTCGCCACCCGCAACTCTGGCCCGTACCCCAGTTCCTGTATGTATAAATAAATAAATCTTTAATAAAAAAGATTAAAGTTTGGTTAATGGAATAAACAGCTTCCTGAAGGTTCTGAGACTGAAGATCTTCAAGGTGAGAGGAGGGGAAGAAGAGGGTTGGTGGGATGGAGGAAGGGTGTCTCTTCTGGTTTACCATATGCAATACTTAAGTCAAAGAAATTTGCAGAACAAAAAATTGGGGGAGGCCTTCCCCGGTGGCACAGCAGATTGAGGGCCGCACTGTGAAGCTGTCTGCAACCTCTTCAGCATAGGTTCAATTGCCGGCTGGCCAGGGAGAAACCCACATGGTGCAGCAGACCTCTCCTGCCTCACCTGCTGCTCCCCTCAGCAGTGTATTTCAGTCATCTGCCTGTTCTGCTCTCAGCTCTGTCTCTGGTGAATTCTCTCACGCTCCCTTGCCTCTAAACTGTACCCCAGTTCTTGTATAAATAAAAATAAATCTTTTTAAAAAAATGAGGGGAATGTTAAGGGGAATGAGTGTTAATAAACAACCCCATTAAAAACAGACAATATATGATGTCCTGCCACTGTTATGTGCTTCTATAATATCAAATAATTCTATATGACTAGAAAATAGGGGAATGATGTCAGTATAATATATAAGTTTGGTTGATGAATGTGTGGTTTTTAATGGAGTCCAATAGAGTAGCAGTAGAATTCTATCTCTCAGCAGGAAAGAAAAAAAGAACTTGGTTTGGCTGCTGCACTGGCGTACCCTCCTCAGAAAGGGGCACCCCCAGTCTTGCATGTCAGTTTCATTTTCTCTTGTGCCTTCCTTAATCCATGGTACAATTGCACTTCTAATCTGTGCTTGGAAATAAAAAGTAACTACTTAGATCTTAACAGTACACAATATTAAATGATTTTTCTATTCTCATACAAAGAAAGCAAGCAAAGTCACATATCAAATCAGTATTAGCACTGATTTATTCAAATTAAAAGATAATTTTAAGGGGCCTCCCTGGTGCGCAAGGGGTTAAGCACAGGACTATGAAGCCATCTGCAGCACAAGTTACATTCCCGGTCGGCCAGGGAGAAACCCACATGGCAAGGCAGACCTCTCCTGTCTCACCCTCAGCAGTGTCTTTCAGTCAGTCTGCCTGTTCTGTTTAGTCAGTCCCCACTCTGTCTCTGGTGCATCCCTTCACCCCCCGCATCTCTGGCCTGTACCCCAGCTCTTGTATGCATGAATAAATAAATCTTTAAAAAAAAAGATAATTTTAAAATAACTCTTAACCTTTCCCCAAGTTGAATTTTAGAAAATCTTAGACCATAAAAGTTTAGAGACCCTATTTGATGCACAAAATCATACTAATAATGAAAAGAGAAATGCAAAAACCTAATGTAAAGTGACTAGGGTGCTACAGACTGGAAGTTCCTCCAATAGGATTAGCTTCTTTAAGTATTTTAAGTCCAGTGAACTTGTTATACTTTCACATGTTAGTAGTTGCATAGGCTAATTTCAGCTGGCATAAGCTTTTACAAGTATGCAAAAACAAAGGGCAAGGCATGCATTAAAATGTGATAATAGCACACTTCTGGGACACGTGAAGCATGAGGCATGAAACTGAATGTCTCCCCCATCCATGAGGTATCACTCCTCAGAGTTGGAAATTTCTGTTTTGAAAAGTAATTCTGTTATTTCACATTTGGAGGTGGGGAGGGAGAGTCAACTTTCTAAATATAAATATAAACAGGGTTCCCTATAGTTTTAACTCTAACTCAAAACTAGTTTTTTGAGTCCAGGTGAGCTCTAAATGATTCAAAGTTGGATAGGTGCTTAAGAAAACAAGCCATTTATCTTTTGTTAATGAAAGTTTGTGATTATAAAATATGGTTGATCACACAGAAAATTTTAGCCAGTGTAATAGAGAAAGCAATCATCTATAATGATCTCTACCCTCAGTCCCTGAAAAAGGACAATAAGGATGGATTTGCTATTTTATATATGTAATACAGGCAAGTAAACTTTAATGATTCTGAATAATAGGTAATTATCTACAAATGCTCTGAAATTTACAGTTGAAAACTCCTAAGTGAAAACTAACTATATTTCATACAAACATTAAAAATGACCAAGAAAAATAGATTTACTTTCTGAACACACATACACAAAAAATCCTTAACAAAAAAATTAATAGCTATAAATAATAAGTATCAAAATATCAAAATGATCATTCAGTAAGTATTAAGGATGATAAACAAGGAGACAGTTTGCTTTTATATAGAACAAGAATATAGGAAGCAAACTGGAGTAGCCAGTATATTCATATGCTAAAATCATTAAAAGTTGTCTGGACCTAGCCTTGAAGTTAAAGTACGCCACTTTATATTTTTGACCCTCTTCCAGGATATGGAGTTCAGTTTTATTTTTTTTTTTGATGGTTTTATGTTTTTATTTTTTTTCTCTTTTATATAATTCTTACATCATTTTTCATTTTTGCACAATGTATGCATTTTTATTTTGGTTATATTCCCCATATAAATCCTACCCCCCCCCCACTTATTTTGGTCCTAATCCCTCCTCTCCCCTCTACCCCCTGTAGTATGTCTCTGGTTTACAGTTGCTTGTTGATTTTGACTTTTTCTTTATTATAATTAGTCTTTTTCCTGGTCCCTTATTTAGGTTTTCTAAATTCCTGCTATAAGTGAGACCATCCGGTATTTTTCTTTTTCTTTCTGGCTTATTTCACTGATGGAGTTAGCGAAAGAGTTAGTTTTAGACAAAGTGATAGGACCACAGCAGTAGCACATTAAATAGTGGTAGTAATAGCACTATCAAAGTAACATCAATCACTACTGAAGTTATAAAATGTAAATAAAATACTAAAAACTAAAAAGTGAAGTGAGGAGCATGAATTACTCCAGTAGTAATTCAATAAATGTTGAATTCATAGTATTTAAGAGACAAACCCATAGAGCTAGAGGTGGATATTTCAAATTTTAACAAGGATATACAATAAAAATGTTTTAAAGTACATTTTTTTAATGCTTGAAAAACCTCTAAAAGTCAACCAAAACGTACTAAAAATCTATCTGCACATACAGTAGGGCAATTGCTTATTTTTCACCTTTGGAAACTATATACCACAGAAATTATCTATTAAACATGAATTGTAATCAATGACTTCTGTTTATTAAATTATGGCCTACCAAAGTCAAACTACTCATCATTGCTTTAAAAACCTAATCTTGTGCTATGCAATACATTGAATATTTGAGTCTCTCCAAAATTTATATGTTGAAACTTAATCCCTAATGTGATGGTATTTGAGGTGAAATGATCACCAGGGTATAGCACTTACAGTGGAATTAGTTTCCTTATGAAAGAGACCTGAGAGAGCACCCTTGTTCATGACAAAACATGCAGACACAGCGACAAGACAGACTCTATGACTCACCAGACACTGAATCTCATGGTGCCTTGATCTTGGACTTACCAGTTTCCGTAACTATGAGAAGTAAATGTTTGTGGTTGAATCCAACTAGTCTATGGTATTTTTCTTTAACATAGCCCAGATGAACTAAGCCCAGATGAACTAAGACATGTTGAAATAAAAGATTACTAAAACCTTAAGGCCTTTTCATGACTTCCCTTTGTATGGGGATGCCATACTTATATTAAAATTAAATTGCTTTAGTAAATCTGTTTTCCCTTTCAATAGTAAAAAATCATGTGAATATATTTTGAAATATAGTTTACAAAATCTTTGCTACTTACCTTTTGAAACATCTTTAATTTTCCTACCATACAAATCATAAAGATATCTGGCTGGTGAATTTAGATTCATTTTCATGGTACAAGTATCTAAAACCTAGACAGAAAAAAAAAAAAACCTATAAATAATTTATTACCATAAGCTCTGGTTAAACTGAATACACATGTAAAGTCCTTTCTATACTACATGGCTATTAAAAGTTATATTGCAAAATAAAATTTAATGAGTTAAAATGTTTCAAATATATGAAATAGAAAAAGGTAGTGAAAATTGCCAGATTCCAATTGTACTTTAAAAGCACATACACAGATAAATTTTTTAAAAGAAGCTGCAACATATTTAAAAGATGTTATAAATGGCTGATTATTGGGTAGATTTTCATCTTACTATTTCCTATATATCCCATTTATTGTATAATGGAAGGATATTACTTCCATTAGTTTATTTTATTTTAATTTAGAATATAAGGTACTTTCTCAAAATTTAAAATATCTTTTAATTTCTTTCCAAGAGTCCTAAAATAAATTATGGTCTGATGACAATTCACCTTGATAACATAATGCTTGGGGGTCTCCCTGGTGGTGCAAGGGGTTAAGCATAGCACTATGAAGCAATCCACAGCCTCTGCAGCACAAGTTCAATCCCCGGCCGGCCAGGGAGCAACCTACATGGCACAGCAGACCTCTCCTGACTCACCCGCTGCTCCCCTCAGCAGTGTACTTCGGTCAATCTGCCTGTTCTGTTCCCCACAGTCTCTGGTGAATACTCTCACCCCCCCCACACCTCTGGCCTGTATCCCAGCTTATGTATGCATAAATAAATAAATCTTTAAAAAAAACATAATGCTTGGATACTAAAAAATGGAATTGATTAACCACATTTCAAGGTTTTCTATTAGCATGAGTCTCAAGAACTTTACTTTTAATGGCTTTTAATATGTAAAGCTCTTAATATTTTGATGTTTTGACCTGTTCTTGATGTAGCTCTTGTAATGGTCACTTCATCAACATCAAGCAGGGAAGACTTAACCATGTATCAGTTAAAGAAAAGCTCTGCTAATTAAGTAAGGAAAATAAAAATAATAGAGAGGAATGAGGGAATTTCAGGTAGCCCAAGGCAGGTTTCATTAGGTTTTCAGAAGTGATTTCCAAAACATGGAATTCATATTTATCTAGAAATACAAAATACATTCCAAATCCAAATCCAAAGTACTGTCTTCCATTTTTACTATTCATAGCTATAAAAAAAACTATTGCTTTCACAACAGAACTATTGAAAGGTAATGCTCATTTATAAGTAACTAGTAAAAATAACATCCTTCAATTGCTTTGACCACATATCTAAATTTCTGCCCACTTTTATCCCTACTTTAAAATTGGAGTTGGTAATCCTACTCCTAGCTCAAGGAACTAATTTTCTTTGTGCCAATGGACATATTTAAATAACTTAATGTGTATATAAAGACAAAGTTTTACTTTCAATCCGGAGAACAATTTTCATTATAACTGATATGTTTTATCTAGTTGCCATATCAAATTATGTTTTGCATTTAAAAGACAGATATTTAGCTGAAAATTTTAACTTAATAAATTGACTTTTCCTGAATTATATCATAAGTTCTCAACCTTTATTCCACTCCGACTTAAATACTCAAATAACAATGCATTGAAATGTACTCCACAAGTGATTATTAACCATGTGAGGTGGAGCAAATCCATTGAGCTCCAATCTGCCTACCTGGCATGAGTCAATGCAGGAATTCAATTCCTTGGAACAGCCCCAATAACATCATTGTCCCTTCCTCTTTCCAGTTTCTTGCCCTTGACAGGGATTAGTACTTACCACCCAAATAAGGTAATAACTCTGGTGGCTATCTAAATATTATTCCATCTGCCTTCCCTTTCATTCTTTTGATCCAATGTCTTAAGTGACTGTAAGACACAAACTGACCTAAGATCCTTATCCCATGAACTGAAACCCTTACTGACGATGCTTGAAAAGCAATATTCAAAATATAAGAGAAAAGGTATTAGCAGAAGACACCAGCTTCAGACAAACAAGGAAAGTGGACCATAATTGACTGACATTGGCATAGGTTCCAATTTTGGTTTTCTTTTTAATACTTCAAGAAATTAACACAGTTGGTCACCAACTAGCAAATCTGTCCCTCTTTTGTCACCTACTGGTCACTTTCTTCCATATGACTTTGTGCTCAAAGAATATGCTTTTCCCACTACCACCACTATCATCCTCATGGAATAAAATACACATTCTTTCTTAGTCAATTATCTTTGACCAATATTAAGAAGCTATAATTGTTCCCATATACCGTAAATAAACATGGCCTCCTCCTTAGGGTGCTCATATTCTTTTATCTTTCCATTCTTTATATTCAATGTTCAACTTGTTAATACTACAACGTATTATTAAAAATGTAATGCTGGGCCTCCCCTGGTGGCGCAGCGGTTGAGCACTGGGCTGCAAAGCTGCCCGCAGCCTCTGCAGCATCGGTTTGATCCCCGGCCACCAGCGAGGTTCCCACATGGTGCGCAGACCTCTCCTGCCTGCCCGCTGCTCCCCTCAGCAGTGTATTTCGTCAAGTCTGCCTGTTCTGTTCCCCACTCTGGCTCTAGTGAATTCTCTCACCCTCCCGCCCTTCTGACTGTACCCAGTGCTTGTAGAAATAAATAAATAAATCTTTTTAAATAAATGTAATGATGTCCTTTGTATAAATTATATTCCCTAGTTATTAATGAGTTTAAATATCTAAATATCCTGCAAGACTATAATTCACCAATTAAACTAAGTAAAATATGAACTATTTAAAGATAGTCCCATTTATTTCACTAAAATTTCAATGATTCCTTAAAATTATCTCAAATATTGTTGCCTTTTAGTCTTAAAAAATCAGTCAAATAAAATCACATGGCATTCTAACTCAAAGGTTTCTCTTTTCATTGTACTAAAACATTAATGAAAATGTTTCTACAAGCCAAGTTTAATGAGTTAAATGAGTTTAAAAACTGGCATTAGAAAATTAGATACTAGAAATTAATAATGCATCAGTAACATTGTCATTCTTTCCTACTTTAAGGATTAAAGGTCCTTACAGCATTTAAGCAATGCCAGCCTTCAGTAATCATTTTCTCAGAGTAAATTATCAGTGATATGAAATAGTACCAATATAAACTTCTGTCAAAAGCTCTGAAAAGAATCCTCTACCTATAAGGTCATTCTTATAATTCACAATTGAAAAATACATAACAGTGTCATCTTACTGTAATATCAAGGTTAATTAAAATACATTTCCACTGATTTGTACCTGTTAAGCTTATTAAAATATTACTGTTAAAAATTCATGTTTCATTAATTTCTTAATGCTTAGTTTGTAAGATACTGATACTGAAATTTAAAACCATTCTGCTGTAAAGCCAGACTCTTCTTGACAAGTACCTGGGAAGAGATTTTCCACAAACTCTTTTCAATTTAATCTACTTATTTACAATTTGGAAGTCACTTCTACTCCCAGGCACATCTGAAATTTGCTGCTTCTGAAACATCCACCACAGGGGTATTTGGTTATATAATCTACAATCTCTGAGTTTGATTTGCTACTACCTCAATCCAAGTAAGAAAGTCTATTTAGCTCAATATAACCCCAGGTCAAGTGAGTGTAGTCAAAAAGCTTCAGACCCAACAATGTCCAGCCTCCTCAAAGACAGAGACCCTTGATACATTTTAACATTTTTTTATGAGGCAAGCCTCAAAAGTATAAGTCCTGATTTATACCTCCCCACACATTCTCTACAAAAGATCCTCTGTCGCAGGGGTCAATAAATTATACCCCATGGACCAATTATAGCCACAGCCTACTTTTGTATGGCTTGTTAGCTAAAAATGACTTACACATTTTTTTAGTGTTAAAAAATCAAAAGGGATATTTTGAGGCACTTCAAAGGCATACAAAGTTCAAGTTTCAGTGCCCACAGGTAAAGTATTCTTGGAAAATATCCATACTGTTCATTTACATATTTTCTATGGCTACTTTCTCATGACAGCAAACATTGAACAGCAACCATGGAGACCATAAAATTAAAAATACTTACTATTTAGACCTTATAACAGTGTAAACCTTCATACTATGTGTACAGCTACTTTAGCCGTGGATTTCTTGCTTCCTTCTTGTTTAAGTCTGTTTAAATAAGGATTCTCTCATTATTTGCAGATAAAGTCATGCTAACTAAAATTGGGGGTGGGGATCCAGGTTCCTTAAAAGAGGAATTAATTCAATGAATATTTGTATAGCACATAGATTACAACTGTATTAACTATATAAACCTAGGAAGCAAACCATTTAATTAAGAACCCAGAAAAGAATTTTAGAAGAAATTTAACAAGCTGAAAACTGTGAAAATGGTTATGAAATTAATTCATTGAATTATTAAAAATATTTCACCTTTGATAATAAATAATGCTTATTCAGTAGAAGAGAACTAAAATTTCACTAGTGAATATTTTGAGAAAAGAAGTCTGTTTTTACAGGTTTTTTTTTCTTCTGTGAGCTCAAAGACTATGAAATACATTATGAATTTTCAAAGAATTAAAGTGTGATAACATGTACTGGGCAAAACTCTACTAGACCAGCATTTTGCAATGACTTATAATAAAAATTATGATTATTATTTTAACCTGATGACACTGGCAGATTGGGTTGAATTTGTACTCATCAAGTATATATAGGTACTCTTTCTGGACAAATCTTAGGGATAAATTTGTTGCTCTGTTATTTGTCTTATTCTCATAAAAAAGGTGATAGTATGAGTGCCAAATCAAATTATTTGTTCTTACTAGTAATGAACACTACTATGTTTTATAAAAGCAATTATTTCCTGTGAATTTGAAATGTGGTTGTTGTGGCATTTTATTATTAAAATGTGAATAGGAAGTAGATAACCACAGAAGATTTTCTAAGTAATCTATTAATTCATACTCCTTGAATATTTTATCCTTAATTGGTTTCTTCTTAAGGATAATTAAATAGCCCAGATTACTTTTAAATTGCCCTAATTTTAATCTTTTTATTTTGCTTTTCAAAT